AAATTAAAATTATCATTTAAAATAATCATCTTTAGATATAGGATTTATATACCTACTATTATAAGATAATAAATTTTGATAGTGTTTATGATAAGATATAAAGATTATTTCTTAATTATAATTAAATTAAAATTTGTGACATTTACCATTATAAATTGACGCATCCTATGACACCAACAAAATTTTGTATCAATAGAAAACCAAACCAACCAAATTTTGTGTCATTAATTTTGTGTCAGTTTTATTAGGTCATCAATGGCTGGGTAATTCTTAGCCTAATTTTTAAAACCCATGTTTAAATGTATATTTGTGATTATTATTACTTAAATTGTGTTTACTGGGATACTTAATGATTATATGTTTATGTTTTGTTTATTAAATTTTGTTTTTACATGCAGATCTAATTTAATCAGAGAATTATATTTGAGCAAAAATCTTTGGAATATCAAAGTACGAGTTTCTCGCCTGATATCCTGTTGGATGAGGAGGTATAATATATTTATAAATCGTTTACATATATTAAATCTTTTAATGAACCTTTTAGTTTTTATCAAATAATTTTATGATTTAAACAAATTTTTTGTGATTTAGGTAGCTTAATTAAGTCATAAAATTAACTTAATTTTTTATTTTTAATTACAGGATAATTGCGTTCATGCCTCAATTAAAGTCATCTTTGTTCTATAATTTTGTTCAAAATTGATTGAAGGAAAAGTTTACTCCATTAGATACTTTTCAGTCGTTACAAATAAGAAGCAATATCGCACGCATTGTCAGTGACAACAAAATAATAATTCAATATTCCAAAATACTATTGTTTGGGCGATTGGGGACGATGAAAAAATTCCAATGCATAGATTTAATTTTGTATAATTTTTACAACAATTATTTCTGGTAAATATTTTAATTTATTTTATAACTATAAAGATTAATTTTATATAAATTTTATTTTTTCTAACATGTTCTATTTATCCGCTTTTATTAGATGGAAGAGATATCGGTGTGAACTAAGTTGGTGATCCTATCGAATTTTTTTTTTATACAAATTTTTTTACATCGAAATATTACATCTAATAACTATTATTTTTAATGTTCAAAAATATTATGAGTATGATCTAATTACAAAAAAAAATTTATGAGATTTTATGTATAAAAAACCGTGGAATATTAGGATTTAAATTATTAAAAAAAAATTATCTTATGAAATTAATGGTTTTATCTAAATACCCGATTAATAAGATGTTTTTTTCATAAACAAAAAATTTAAAACTTTAAACGCAATAAAAAAACTTTACCTTCTTTAAACATTTTATGTCTAAAATTTGAAAAGACAGATAATTTGTTAGAGATCAAGAGTTCACAAGAAATATACAAAATGATATATAGATTTGAGAGTTTGATTTCAAGTGTAAAAAGCAATGAATAATGATTTAGGATATAAATTATTTTAAAAATAAAAAATTATTATCTTTTCAGATTAAAAGATTTTATCCTAATATGTATCAAAGAAATATCATATTTACAATTTTTTTTTAAAAGATAACATATTATTGTCATATAACTATCAACAACAAATAAAATGCAAAACAACAATAAATTAAGTCGCATTATAAATTACATTACAAAAATTATACTTTTGTAATCGGCAATATCATTTTAATTAAATTATTATTTGTTTTTTTTTGTTTGAAATTATTAAATTGTAAAATAAATCAAATAATTTTATATATAAAAAAAAACTTAGAGTATATAGGAAATATCTTTTCTTGAGATATATGTATGAAAAATCGTGCATCGCATGGGCTAAAAATTATGCATATTACATATTAATTTAAAAAATCGACACGTAGGTAAAATGACGAATAATGATTTATTAAGATTTAAATTATTAATATTAGTAAAAGTGACGAATGAAATTTAAAAAATTTTCCACGTAGGTAAAAACAACGAATAATGATTTATTAAGATTTAAATTATTTTAAAACTAAAAATTATCTTTTTTAAAAGTTTATTTTTTGATATTATATACAAACACTTTAAAATTAAATATTTGAGAAAGAAAAATATATGTTCATTTTGTTTTTAAGAAGACGTTCAATCAATTTATTTTTTTAAAAAAACATTTTAAAAGAAATTAAATTATTAATAATTAACTAATATTCTTCATTTTTTTTTTCAAAAAAAATCAATATTCTTCCAACAAAAAAAAAAAAAAAAAAAAAAACACACACACACACAATAATGTTCAATTTTTATCTTATCTAGCAACCATTTTATGATTAGATAAAAAATTTTATAAGAGATTTATTTGCTACTCCACAAATATATAAGATAGGATGATATTATAGATTTGTATACATCCTCTCAAAAATATAATTTTGATTTTTTTTTTTCAATTGTAAATAGACAATATATATATATATATATATATATATATATATATACTATACAAAAAACACAAACATGTGAATATTATTTATCTACACTTTTTCATGGTGTGAATTTTTTTCAGGTCTAATTCGTTGATTAACAAAAAATATTGGAAATAATATAAGTATATCAAGGCTTTCTGATGGTAAACAAAATAAATTGATTGTTATTCATTATTTTATAAGATGTATGTTTTGTTTTATTTTACCTAATCTAATAATGTTACTTATTGTATGAAATTTTGTGTATTATAGTTTCTGGTAGAATATCTATATTGTTATTGTAAAAATCATTGTAGTAGTGTATACATATAACTCTATTATTAAGGACATATGATAATGAAATTTCATTATAAAGATTTAATTTTATTCAATTAGATTAATTTTAATAATGCAACACTCTTGGTAGTATATATATATTTCATTTAACTATTTAAAAATTTATAAAGTCATATCTTTTACTATTACTCCCACCGTCTTTATTTTAACCCTGTAGTTTTGGGTTTATTTTATTAATTTTTCATAGTTTAAAGTTGATACGGAGTAAAAGAATAATGCGGTCCAAGTTATTGTTTGTGAAAGAAAAATAGTGATTCTATAACTATATATGTATAGTGGAACAACGTGTTTTTGGTATACAAACGAATCATAGGTTAAAAAAATACGAACAAGATTATGATTTCATTCTAATATCTATCATACTTATGATTTTCATATAACTTATATAGTAAATTAAGGTCGCATTATAAGTTGCATAAAAATAAAACAAATTATCCGTTTTCTAACAAGCAAAATAATAATAAAAATTATAGGGTTAAATTAAGAAAATAATATTTTCATGAGATTTATGTATTAAAAACTATGCATCGCACGGGCTTCCATCTAGTTAACAATAATTTTTATAACATTCAAAACCATAGTTTATAAAACTAAATTCCAATAATTAAGCAAGCTACACTGATCCACTCAAAACCACCCAAGTATGACATTAATAACATCAAAACCAGCCATCAACAACTAAATAATCAAAATACAATAAAATCAACAGATACCCAGATCATAAATTATATTCACTAATCATAAATTAGTACAAAGGGCAATTTCGAAAATCCATTAATTTCGGGGGTGGTAATGTAATAACGCCAAAAGTTACTGTTACTAAGAACAGTAGTTTCTTTCCCGTTTTTATAATAGTTAAAGATTTGAGATAGTTTATTAGCATAACCAAAATCTAACCCGAACCCAACTATTGACCCGAATTAACAAGTCTAGGTGTGATATAGTTTGATCTATTTTTTCTGATTTGGTGTGATTTGATCTATATATGATTAAACATTAACAATATATTTACACTAATGTTGAAGAAAAAACATTATTAAATGGAATTTTGTTAAATTCGTCTCAATGTTTATTTCGTACTTTTTACTTTTTTAAGATCTATAAGTTCCATTACTTGTTAATACGCAAATGAGAAAACACATTATTTAAGTATTAAGTACACCGCAAATGAATGTCAAAAGTTGTTTTTCATTTAGTTGATTTGGTGTTTGAAAAAAAAAAAACAGGTAAGAACAAAAGGAAACATTAGAAAACCCTCTGCACAAGGATAAATGCGTTCGAAGAGAGGCTAAAAGTTAAAGAAGAGTTATTATAATTACAAAGACTAATGTCTATACTATCAATAACTAAATGGCTAACATTAGCAACTTAGTCTATCGCTCTATTTGCCTCTCTATTGATATGTCGAATGCTCCAATTATCGAATTTGCTGAGGAGTAATGGATGGCTGTAATGATATGCTCGACCTGCCTCGAAATTAACCAAGTACATATAATTGAGTTGATGACTAGTAGATTATCACCTTTGATGTGAATGTTTTTGATCCCTTTCTCGAGAGCTAAAAGAATGCCAAGATTGAAGGTGCATTAGTGGGTGTTAGGGTTGTGCCCTTGTGTTTTTCTGGTCACTTTGGGTAATCCCATCTAGCCAGTCAAATGTGACAATGAGCATGATACAACAAGATACAACAAGAGAATGTAGGTCACCATGTGATTGAAATCCTACGAACTTCAAAAGGGTGCCAACAAGAAATTGCTCACATGTTGAACAAAATGCTGTTACCTATATAATTTGCTAAACAAATGAGTATACATTTGAAAGAAATTGACATGAATAGATGAATAATAAAAAGAGATTTGTTTTGGAGACATTGTGCTCTATTCTAATGGATGAGGAAAATTTCATCTTTGCCAGTGTAATCTTCATCTCTTTAAGCATTCAAAAATTTAACCTCATCTTTTCAAAATTTATTTTCCTTTTCTTTGATATCTCTTTAAGCATTCAATAATGCTGGACATTTATATTTAATATCTTAGCACATATTCCTTTGTTCTAGCTTAGAATCATACACATAAAAATGTCCGAAGAGATCACGATACTATGGTACTTGAATAGTTTATATTCCTGTGTTTACTCCAATTATTACTTCCGTATCAACTGGTATACATATACCGTATAATGTTTAGTACTCTGTTTTACATATTATAGATTAGAAAAGAAACACTTAATCAGTAGAAGAAATCAGAATTATTCAGCAGTATTCGTTTAGATCAAAAAAGCATTGCATTTTGCAAGCAAAATTTCTACAGTATCAGTTCATACATTGCAGAATATGAAAGCTTATGACACCCTTGTGATTCTGTAAAAAGGCCAAAAACATCATAATGCTCAAGATTACTAAGCACTTGTGATTTTATAACATGGCCTTTTCAAGGGTTGTGAAATCAGATCGATAACATAACATTATATCATAATTCCGTACAACTTCCAATCTTGGTTGAATTTCTGAAATCATGCGGTCCACAGCAAAAAGTGGTTCCAATAAATTTTGAATAAGCCAGTCTTGATGGATTGACCTGCAACACCTAGGAAAAAAGGTAACCAAGGGGGAAGGAGGGTTCTGTAGTAAGTGAAGGCGTGAATCGCTTGATACAGACAAAAAAAGGGTACAAGAAGGGGGAAAACAAATTATACCAAGAACTCTTAACATTCCTTATGCTTCTTTCTTAGTAATCCTGTAATACATAAACATAGGAAAAGTGAGGACTTATTCAAGATTAAACAGTACCCTATTACAATGTAATGCCCCCTCTAACCTTCAAAAGAATATGCAGTTACCAAAATTTAGGAAATGAAACAATAGCACTAATATATATGAGATGAATGCATTTAACACAGAGAAACTAAAAGATGCAAGGGTAAAGATATTAATCTTCATTAAAAAAAAAAAAAAAAAAAGAAGAGAATTAGCAGTGTGCAACTCTTGGAAAGCTGCCTTGGATTAAACGAGTTCAACGATGCAATAATACGAGACTCTTATTTCTGTAGTAAAAAACATAACCCAATTGTACATTATACCAATAATGCAGTAACTTGGCATGAATCTAACTATACCTATAAATGCAGTCACCACTCAGCAGTAGGAATTATGTGGCCTAATCTACGGTGTATATAATGACAAATTTCCTTATGATACTTTCAGTAGGTAAACACAAATAAGTAGCATGAAACAACCAGTCCAGCTAATGGGACAAAAAAGTTAATACAGATAAAACATGATATACATTTCTACAATGTCATACAGATATAAAGTTACCTGAAGCAGCAAATTCCCAATGCCGCAGTGATTTCATGAATGACTGATGTTGCAAAGTGCAAGTACACACAAGCTGAGCAAAGCCAGAAAGTTCCATTAGGGAAAACAAGTCTAAAATTGGACAAGGAATCATGACATGTATGTTAACCGTGCTCCAAGCTGAATTGGAACAATTCTCTATATATATCTCGAAAAATAAACATTTCTCGTTGGTTTTTAAGAAATTAACATGATATTGTCCAAGGACTGGAGTGGGAGAGAGTTTTTTTTTTATATGTTTTGGCACAGAGTTGAACCACTAATACTAAGCAGTTCATTAAGAAAATCCACTAACACTATAAGCAGTTTCTTTGCTTGAAATTAAGAAGGCACATGTTCTCTTTACTAAATTGCAAATGCTATAAGTAGTATCAGTAAAAGTTGTAAAACCATTGTGTTTGCACCTCAGTGTTTTCCTTAGTAATTTGTGCCTCTAAATTTGACTGAAGGAAAATGATTCGGGCTTCCAAACTTATTGAATGGTACGATGGGAATTATTTTCAAACCCAAAGTAGAACAGTAAACTTTGCTTTCGAAAATCGTTCATCATACCTTAAGAAAAACCGAAGTAGGAAAACCAAAAACATCTTGAGCATTTCATAGCCAATCAAATTTTCATTTACTTTATAAAAATATTCATTCTACATTTCTACATGTAGAAAAATTTCCTTCATTATATTGTTAGCTAGTAAGACCATGTTGATGTTAACACTAAAGAGAAATATAATTCTAAGGTGACACCAATAACCAAAGGAGAAAAGAGCTAGCTACAAAAGAGGTCGAATCTTTCATACCAGTAAATGCACAATAACCAAGCAGCACCAAGAGCTCATCAACTAAAGGAACTCTGTGAACATGGTAAAAAAAAATGAAGATTGATAAGCTGAAGTGATGAATATCTTAACTAAATATGAGAAGAAAGCAAAAGGGCAAAATCTGATAGCTAAATATCCTACCCGCCATTTAGTTTAGCAGTCAAAGCATTTGCAATGGCCAGAGGTAGATACAGAAGACACTGAAGCAAAGTAGTTAAGAGTTAGTCAATGAAATGCAGAATGCAGATTTGGAAAGTAAAACACAAAAAATGCACAGTACATCAATACATACTTTCTGAGGAAAAAAAAAGAGACAAATTCTTTTAATATTATTTGTCCAAAGGCTGCCATAGGATGACTCTCCTACCTTAAGTAATGTGGTGCAAATACACAAAACCAGCTTAGATATTGTTCTCTTCAACTAAAATAAGGTATTTTGGTTGATTTAGTTAGGCTCTGGTCTAGTGTGAATCTTTCTAGTTTGATATCATGGTCTATTGAGTGTTGCCAGTATTTTTACACTAATGCATAAGAAAAAAGACATTATTAAGTGGGATATTGTTATATCTCCATGTGTATATTCCATATATATAATTCACAATCTTATTAATACTCAATTACAGACGTTCAGTGATAAGTAAACAAAATTACGAAGTGATAAATCAAATCCTTTCTAATCCAGTCTGGTCTGATGATGACCAAATGAATAATAAGTTTCTGAAATACGGTGAAGAAAACAGGTTATTAGTATAATTGTAAAAAGACAAGCCAGAGGAAATAAGTAGCAAATGCACATGTTTTCATGAAACTTCTCAAAATAATACACTAAAAGTAGATCATCAACCAGAGGTCCAGAGTCATACCATAGACATGCTCGTTTTAAGACCCTTAGGCTCATCACACAAGTGAGACAAAATCATCCTACCCTGCAAAAACATACTATCACATCAAACATAGAAAAGTACAATGGTGAAAGTCTGAAAGAGATATTAAAAATATGCACAATAATCTAATAGGGAGATGTAGTTTATTATACGTAGTAGATGGAAAGTCGCAACAAATAATTAAAACTTTTACTTACCACAAGGAATCCAAATGCAAGTCCAGTTCCCACCACAACAAGATGGGGATAGTTGCCCATTATATCAGCTGGAGATAAATAATCCCTGCAGTGCCATTACTTTTACTTCACAAGGACAAGGGATCCAAAATGACATAAAGCAAGTTAACCAGATAAGGGAAGTGAACAATACCAAAGAAAAATTCCGACAAGGAGAGCCACGAATGGATAAAGCTGACATTAATATCATCAAGAATGAGTTCCCAGATAGTAACAAGAACAATAAAAAGGAATGCAGCCAGAGAAAAGACAATGTTATAATTACCATAGCTAATGCAAGCAGCATATTTCCTTTTTTCACTTTAACTACGCTGTAGACATTCTGTATGCTGCATGGGAAGCATACTTAAGATGAGAACTTTAATGAGTTATATATGACAGGCTAATAAAGAACTCAATTCAGCACATCCACTGAAAATGTTGCATTACAACAATCCTTGTGGCAGTTGATAATTTTGCAGTGTGCACTAACATGAACATAGGGAGAAACCAAAGGACAGAACCAGATTGAACGTGTCCATGAACGAAATAATTCCATTTTAGGTTAAACTTGATGAAGAACCTCATATCTTTATTCCAATTCAGCATGCAAGTTATGTTAAAGTTCAATGCTCTATTCCTAATGCAAAGAGATGATGTACACAAATAGGATTGATATACTTAGAAAAGAATACCTACTTAAATACAACAGTAGGTATCACACCAGAAGCTATCATTAGGTACAACGCAGCTTGGTATGTTGGGATCCCTGAATCACAGAGAAAAATAGGGAGTCAGAATTCAGGGATGCATCCACAAGGAAATAAATTTGATACAGAAGAAAATGCTTTTTAATAAAAATGAATGTGATAGGAGATGAAATCATTAATAAACTAATTCAGATATGCACCCATCCATCAACCAAAAGAATAGAAAAAAAGGAATTATTTTATAAATGGTGTGAAAATAAATTATGAATGTCCCTCCCTCCTCCTCCTTTTCCCCTTCTTCACTCCCACATTACTAACCAAGACACCTAAGTTGGCATCAAACGGAGGAGAAAAAAAATAACTACAATATATAGTATGCATTCAAACATATTTTAGTCGTTATCAACAAGATTTTGGAGAATGTATGTTACCATTTAAAAATGGCACCCAGCTCAAGAAGGGAATTGATAGTCCAAACTGTTGAGCCCACCATTCAGCACCTAATAAGAGCAAAAGTTTAGAGATGATAGATGGAAACAAAGTAACAAACTATTATTTAATAACATATTTCCTTGAATGCCAATACCAAGCCACCAACATGGTTTTTGAGGCCCAGGGATTCTTATCTCATAGAAATAAAATGAGTGCTGTAATGTTTGACAAGTGTGCAGTGGCTTACCTACAAAAGTTGTGAAGAAGTGGCAGAAATATATCAGCATGAGACCTTCTGTAGGTCCGTTGACTACAGGAAGAATTAGAATGTTCGTGAAGTAGCTGAAAATCACGGCCAACGAAAGGAGCAAGTTAAGTTGCAAAGTGGATTCGCAAACAGATATCACCATTCTAAATATAGAAGCAGCCCGGTAACTGACCAGCAAAGTAGACAGTATAGCAACAACATCAACACCCAGTATAAATTATCATCCACATTAAGACCATAACAGCAACGATAATGATGGTGATGAATAATAATAACACCACCAAATCCGACAACCACAAAACCTTCTTTAACAACACAAAGAAGTGGTTCGTAGAATTGTTATGCACATATTAGATCCTAACAAAGCAACACACAAACGAAGAGTGGTAGAAGGGGATACCAAACAGGACATCTCCTACTTAAGGTACAAGCAAACTAGACAGGATACATCAAATTAGTTGTCACAGTTATGTCATTAATCAAACAAAAGTAGACCAAAATAGTCATAGGCTACCACAACTATCTGAGCCACTTCCAATGGTAACTTAAAAAAAGTAGCATACTTTAGAGCACATACTTTTCCCAAGTTGCACCATAAAATGGAACAGCTGCTATCACCCAAAACAAGAAAGTTGCCCTTCCACACATAGCTGTACTCCCAAAAGCAAGGGCTTCAAGCTGAGATGAAAATATAGATTTAAAGGCCATCTGCTTTAAAGCATAAAATATTATCAAAACAGAGCACACTTACTGCACAACCGAGAGCATCACATCCTGCAATGCATAATCAGACACGACCAGGATACATCAAATTAGTTTCAAGTACTTGTAGAAAGCAAGTCATGCCCTGATAGCAGGAGTACGCCAAAAGCAAAGATTGCTTGGAAACCAAGGAAGAGATAGGATGATAGGAATGCAGTAGGAATTTACCATGATCAAAAAGCTCTCCCAATGGACTTGAAGAATTGGTACGTCTGGCTTGCTTCCCATCCACCGCATCAAAGGTCTGGAGTGTGATAAGAAAATAGTAAGAGAATGTAACAAATCTAAAGGCCAGTGCAATAAACACAACAAGCAAACCATAGTACATTAGTACATTTCTATCATAATAACTGGAAAAATTGTCCAGTGGGTGCTTGACTGATAACAGACCCTCTATGGGTGAAACGCTGAAACTTCAGCAGGGACCAATCATCAAACCTGTGACTCAGGGACATCTAAGGAACTGGACAATGCAAACATCGACTAGAAGCTTACTACCCCCATATTATATATACAAAAATGAAACAAAAGCTAGCTATGGATCCAAGTCATCCAACCTTATGTAAATTCTGGAGAATATATATATATATATATTAAAGCAAGGAAGCTATAGTTACAAGCAAAAACACTTACAACTGTATGGACTCTAGAGGCTTAGAACCATAGACGTTAGCAGAACAATTTGAGCCAACATTGCACATAGTACTTGAGTTGGTAAAAAGAATAACAAACATTATGCTATAAGATTTTAGACTAAAGAGTACTCAATCCTTAGGCATTAATTGAGGTAGGCAACGATAGAAGAAATTACACCCCACAGTGAAAATAAGAAGTAACAGCAAAATCAACAACGAATTCACAAGAGGCAAGTAATCATGTCACTCGTAAGGGAAACAAACCTGGTATAAAAAGAGCAGTAATCCATGCATGAAATGAACCCATCTAGGTGGCGGTGTATCTAGACGAGGTGAATATATCTGAAAATTAGCAAGAACAAAACATATTCAGATCCTTAACAAAGCATAGACATTATCAACCAAAGACAAGTTCAATCATCCCCAAGAATTATATGGCAATACATTTTGACGCTTCATACAAGATCAAATGATCAATCTTTGTGTAACCAAACATATAGCTTACAGATCCACATTTCTTAAATAAACAAGACTTGGTACTATATTAAATTAAAGACACACATTGATGCTTTTGTACACTTAACTAGCATAGTCGGTTTTACAAATCATAGTAAGAAGATCATAGTTGAGCAATATTCTCAAAGCGATGGCCATGATGGCCAGTCCCAAGCTTGGGTAAGATAGATAAAAAATCTTACCGGACCTTTCGCTTATATTATAATTCAGTAACAGCAGACTGCTAGTCTTTTGGTGTTGGTTGTCCGTGGCATAGAAGGGTCAATGATGCTAATGGCTATAGGCAATCATATGTATATAGGATGGTTCCAGAGTGGGATTTTAGTTCCGCAAAAATAAGTTGAAAAGAACTAATCCTTAATCTCACTACCATGACAACTCCTACTATCCTAGGACCAAGATCGCTTTCTCACATAATGTGCCTCCGTGTTTTACAGAGCAATATCAGAACATCCTTCTCTTTAATTTCATAACCAATATCACTTATTAAGACCCCAAATTGAGCTATAGTTCAATTCAACACCAAACTAAAGTACTCATAAAAGGGGTGGAAGAAGAGGTGGAGGAGGGAGCCTTGAAAAAGACAGCTTAAATATGATGGACATTAGTTTGACAAATTCACAAAAGTATATAAAAAGGAAAGGCTTCAAAATCAAAGCTCGCTAAAGTATGAGTAATCAGAGCATTTTATAAGTCAGCTAGTGTAACACATCAACTTTAAAAAGATACTTAAACAATCAAGTCTCCAAGTACAAACTTGAAGCGAAGTGAAAATTTCCTCACTTACATATCCAAGCAATGCAGAAGTTACTAAGAACATGAATCCTGTAAGTGTTATCTGCACCAAAACAATAAGTGGCCTCTTAGACAATTTGCAAAACATCTAATTGACATAGCAACTACTTTTAGGGAGTGGAGAGAGATTAAGAGAAAAGCAAGATGTTAAATAAGCCAAAAGAGTGATAGTTACCACATTTGGACTGAAGAAGCATCCAGAAACGGCAAATGTGCACAAAGAAAGGAAGACAGTTAGCAATACCACATTACATTTATTAAGCTCAAAGAAAGAGAGGGATATTATACAAATGTAAGTGCAAACAAAAGCAAAAACAAATAATCAAACATATACAATAACGCAAGAGCATTTCCTGCCCAAAAAAAGGTATCAGAGCATTAATAATAGGGCCAACAATTTCTTCAAGAAACAATTAGATTCACCTTACCTTTTGTTGCAAACAATACAAACAAGAGCTTGTACATGATATCTATAATACATGGAGCTAGCCAGATGTGCTCCATACTTTTGGGAGAACAATGAAATAAAGCTCAAGACACAAAGACTTCCACTATCAAAGCTTCCCAAATTCGTAATGGGGCTTCTACTCTTCTAGTAAAGGGCCCAGCAATCAAGCACATGTTTTACTCCTTAGGTTCGCAACTTCCAATTCCAATAAGGTTTCACATAACACGACCAATAATGAGACACATAAATAGTCCACTCATGCTACTATGAAGAAGTATTAGTACTTTGAAAACAGCACAATTCCTAGTGCAATAAATTTAGACTTCCCCTGCCTCATAATATTTTGCAACTTACAAAAGCATGCATATGAAGGAAAGATGATAACTTCTTGAGAAGGCCCAAATTATAAAAGTTGATTTTATAATAGGACAGCAAGAGTTGTGAACAAAGTCTATCTCTCCGCACTCTATGAATTCTATTTCTACATGACTTTAACTGCTAAAATAAGCAACAGTCATCACATTAAGAAGCACAGTTTCTTTCTTGTGCATCACTTTTTAAACAACATAGGAAATCTATTTGAGCTTGACAATAAAGTGGATCAAGTATAGCATTTGAGGGAAATCCTAATATACACTGTAAGGTTCTAACCCCCCCCCCCCCGCCCTCTCCCCCTCCGCCAACAAAAAAAAAAACCCATCGGTATAAAGCAGCCTAATTCTAAGACATACTAACCAGAGCAGACAATTATTAGAATCCGATTGATAAGCCAGAAAAAAAAAAAAAAAAAAAGAATGAAAAGTGGATACTTACGGCACCCAAAGAGGGAAAAGAAGCACGAAACGAGTCCAGAATGGTTGTAATATATATTTGGCCACATATGAGTGATCCTCACCGCTATACTTGTGCTTATGTAGCGCTGCAATACCATGATTTCCAATATACCCCATTCTTCCTTCTCTCTCACAATTGTTAGTAAACCAAAGATTCCAGAAACTTCAATTCAGCAGTGGCAACCTACACAACACAAACTTCATTAATCATTGTTTATCAACTGATTCCACATTTCCACACACTTCAAATTGATCAGGGAAAGCAAAACTCTTTTAACTCACACATGAGATAAGCCAATGAATAAGTAGGATAAAATTTATCTACAATAAAGGAGTTCATAAAATGAACATGTTGTTGTGCATTCAAGTAGCAACAAGACTTTCTTAGGGCCGGCTTAGTTCAACAAACTAGAATGAAATGAAAATGAGCCCTGCACTATGAGAATTCCATACGTGTCTAAATGTGTTTGACTCGATGGTCGATACCATTTTCAGAAAGGGTTTAGTGTCGAATTTTCCAATTCATGTTGTTTTTTCACTCAATGAAAAGAAATCAAACTTCTAATATTATTGTACTCACTACACCAACATTGAGCCAAGACCCATCACAATTCACAGCACCTCACCCTTGAATTAAATAGAAATTAAACAACACTAAAATGCAACCGGTACCCAACTCGAATTCGAAACTTTGCCTATGCCTAACCTCAACACCACAAGGGAAGAACATTCAACTCTAACATCCTTATCCACCCAATTCCCTATAACCCATCACAAAACTCATCATCATCATTATTTAAACTTATAATTCCTCAAATCAAAGGTATTACCCACCAATTTAACAAGTTATTAACACTACCACAAAGCAACTACCCTACCTTCTCCCTCGAAAAAGTCGAAACAAAATCAACATACCAAGAAACAACAAACAAATACTCTTCCATTTTCACAGTTCTACCCATTAACAAATTCATTCATTTCCATTTCCATTTTCAAAACATCAACTTTCAATAAATTCCACCGATAATATAATCAAAGATATTAACGGTCCAATAGAATCATAACCAATACTGCCAGTACATAATATCAGAACATTAAACCAAAAAAAAAAGCAAAAACCCATATTCAACATCGATAAATGAGAAAATAAAACAGAATTAATCCAAGTTTTCAGGGTCAAACAATTGCAAAAAATCAAAACCAAGATCTCAAAATAGAACAAGTAACTGACTTATATTAAACAACGACAGAAGTGCGGACACTGCAGCAGGCTGACAACCAACCGCGAAGTAGTTTTCCGGCGGAGATGGGCAGCGAGTCGGAGGAGAAGGGCGGTGGTGCGGCGGCGGTTGGCAGAGAAAATGGGAGTGAGATGGCGGGAGTGTCGAGAGGGAATAGGAGAGCTGGAGTTGTTTGGCTTTTACGGTTAAGACACGTGCATTCGACAAATATATGAGCTTCGAATTTACGCTATTTACGGGAGAAGGTCTGGCGCATAACTCTTATATGCAAACATTGCATATAGGATAATTATGTAGTAATAAAGTTAAAGTTGTAGGGGGAGTAAAGAGTATCATTTAATAGGTAAATAGTATCATTAAATGTTATAGTGGTATAAATATTACGCTATTAATACAAAGAAGTATGTTAATGGTACATCAAAATATTATACCACTATGAGATTTAATAGTACTATTAAAATATAATGGTACAATAAACATTTATAATAGTACAATTGTACAAAAAATGTACCACTGTAACCATAAAAAGTACCATTCTGGATGTCAAACCTCAGCACTTTTTCACTTTTGCCCTCCTACATGCAAAAAAATATATAGGGACTATGCGACTAGTGGGACTTATTTTACGTTTTTTGGAATATTATTTGGAAACGTAGGTTGATGCAGCTGGCTCAACCCCTTTAACTTTCAACAGAGCGGCTATGATGTGTCGAATCAGATGTACGGGTTGGGTTTGTATCGAGTTTAGATAGATTATGCCAATTCGAATGATTTCCCTAGAAATTGTTTAAATCAAAATTAATTCTCACTTTACGTTGTTTTAAAAACTTATTCCCTGAATAGTGTCCACGTAGGATCGAATATTAGCTTTGGTTTATTTATTTATTTATTTTGATTCAGTGTAGAACCGGAATTGGTGATAGCGGTTTTACAATTACAACCGCAATCGTTAGTAGTGGTTGTTTTTGAAGAACTAATATTGCTATTGATGGTTCTTTCTGAAAGTTTTAAAATCATCTCACTATTTTACATGTAATCATCTGTAAGTTTTTTTTTTAACAGCCCCCCAAAAAATTGCAAAGAAGTTAAAACAAAAGGTAAAAAAATAAAATACATGGGAATTGAAGTTCTTGAGGTTGAATGCTGAGATATATATGTTCAGATATTCCCCTGAATTCATACTTGTATGAAATTACCCAGAAAATCAAAACAAAATTACAATTACAAACTGGGATTTAGAAAGAGAAAGAAGAATAGAAGATAGAAGATCTAAGAAGAAATAAGAGATTTTAGAAGAAAAAAACAAGAGTGAAAGTTGAGGAGAGAGAAAATGGAAACACAGGGGAGTGGGGAGACGTGGTAAAAAGAAAATGTGTTTTCTTCTTTTATTTTTGTAGGCCCAATTTTTTATTTTTAACATCATTGTAATTTATCATGTAAATGTAAACCGCTATCACCAATTGCGGTTCTACACTGAACCAAAAAAAAAAAAAAAAAAAAAAAAAAAAAAAACTACTCGATCTTACATGGACACTATTCAGGGAATAAATTTTTAAAACGATGCAAAGGAATTAATTTTGATTTTAATAATTTCTCGGGAAATCGCTCTACGAGAATTTTGGATTTCGGTTATGTTAAATCATTGTGTGTTCCCCTAGATAGAATTTTTATTCTGGTTTCTTGAAATAATTTGGTTGATCTCGGATTTAATTAGTTTTTGGTAGTTCTAGTTCATTCCACATACTTTGAAATGATTACAAACAATGTAAAGGTAACTTTTGATTGTAGTAATACTCCGTACTATGTTATTATTCTCTCTATCCCTTATTGTTTGCACCATTTGATCCAAAAAACTCTCACATAAAGTGGGTCTATAGTGCAAACAAGAAGAAATTGAGGAAGTATATGTTTTCTGATTGCGCACCTTTCTTTTTTGATGCAAATGAATGGCGCACCTTTCTATAAGTAAAATATTACCTTTAGTCTTACAGAGTAGTTAATAAAGGTTCAAATAGTATTTGTGCTTATTGCCTGAAGTTAGGGTGACACACGAGTGTTTGAATTCATTAGACAAGCATGTTTTATACCAAACCTTTTGCCACAAGGCCCACAACTAAGGAAAAAATCTGCCTAATCCATCAAAAAATTTGTAATTAGGCTCCTTAGGGATGCAAATGTGCAATGCAATACTCGTATTTTCTAGTCTACAACTATATACCTAAAAGTAAAGAACCAGTTCTGTAAGTCTGCAAGAGTTGATTAGAGTTAATTAGTTGAAGTACATTACATTGAAAGGGCTCAAACTCAATACACCTAAAGAGAGCAAAAGCATTTGTAATTTTATTATCATATTATCGAGGTAATTATATTTCTTCAAATTTAATAAAAGGTACTGAGTAATTTTTAATATCTCACGATAAGTTATCATAGATTCGCCTAAGACTTTTTCCAAAACATTTAATTGGCAATGGAAGTTCCAACAATTTTGAAGAACAGAACACGTAAACTAAAACAAATACACAATAAAAAGACAAATATACCACTAATAATGCTTCAATAACAATTCTTCAATGTTTATCAACAAACTAGAAAGCAAACAAATACAATTACTATTTCATACACTTGAAAAAATAGCAGTACTAAATAAGAATCTCAATAAAATAAACAACAAAAGAAATGAAATCATGAAGTTTACAGAACCTCAAACCTATACCCTTCTGTGTATTCACATTCTATGGAACACAAACCAAAACAAACCGAAATAATACCAAACACCAACCTCAACAACATCACAAACACCAAAAATATGATACAGCAAATCAGCTCAAATTTTACTCACAAATCACCCTTACTAGCATCAGTTAAGATTGTCTTCGAGGAAGGAGATTTTCCAATGATCGCCTTCTTTGCTTTCACAAGAGAGCTTTTCACCTTGGACAATATTGTCTTGGAAGGAGGCTTTTTTGCAACTATGTCTTCATTTTTCTCTTCATCGGAATCCTTAGTTGCTGTAACTTCCTTAGCAACTTGCTCAGTATGTCCATTTTTCTCTGCCTCGACAACAGGAGCTGAGGCCTTCTCTTCTTCTGCTTCCTTTTCCTCTGAAGGTACCGAAGGAGGAGGAATCACCTCAACATCTCTGCTCTTTACGGCTACTTCTTGGTTCTGAGCTGATTCTTCTGGCTTAGTTTCCTCAGTTTTCACTTCTTTTTCTTTGCTTTCGTCTACAGCTTTCACCAGTTCTGAAACTTCTGCAGTCTCTTTCACAGTCTCATTTGCAGTCACTTTCGCAGCTTCTTCAGCTTGAGTAGTATCAGTGTCCTCCTTCATCATGTCTCCTAGACTAGACCTTTTTGAAACATCACCATTTTCTTCAATTTTCTCAGTCTCAGCAATTTTCTCCTCGGCTTGTTCTTTGGCAATTTCCTTCTTTTCCACATCCACATTCTCGGGTGCAGTAATCAATTTCTCTTCCTCAACATTCTTTTTGCTTTCAACTGCCGGTGCATCACTTGGCTCACTCACTTTCTCTGCTACTTCAGAAGGTGGCTCTTGCTTAGACTCCTCTACAATCTTAGGGTAGTCTACGGAGGCTAAATCTTTCACATTCACCACTTCCTCCGCCACTTCAGAAGATGGCTCTTGCTTTGACTCCTCTACGTTCTTAGGGTAATCAACGGAGGCTAAATCTTTTACATTGACCACTTCCTCCGCTACCTCAGAAGGAGGCTCTTGCTTTGACTCCTCTACATTTTTAGGGTAATCAACAGATGCTAAATCATTAACATTTACCACTTCCTCTGCTAATTCAGAAGGAGGCTCCTGCTTTGACTCCTCGACATTCTTAGGGTAATCAACAGAGGCTAAATCATTCACATTTACCACTTCCTCCGCTACTTCAGAAGGAGGCTCCTGCTTTGACTCCTCTACATTTTTAGGGTAGTCTACGGAGGCTAAATCTTTCACATTCACCACTTCCTCCTGGACAGGTTGATCTGCTTCTACTGTTTTCTCACCACCCTCTTCAACAGTGGATTCAACCACTTCACCTTTCGAGTTTTCTTCTTCCTTAGACTCCTCTACTTTGACAGGCTCAGCAAGAGGAACTGCTTCTAAACTTCTCTCGGTCACCTTCTCAATTACTGCTTCCTGAGGTTCTTCTACAGGCTTGTCTTCTGACGTTACCTTTGTCTCAGCAACACCCTCAACAGTTGATTTCACAACATCAATGTCTCTGGTTTCAACATAAACATCCTTCGGCTTCTCCTCTTCAGCAGCAACTTCCTTCACTTCAGCCTCCTCTTGTTTTGGCTCTTTGACCACTTCTTCAGCAGTAACTAATTCATTCTTTTTTTCAACAGGCTCTTCACTTTGGGGGGCTTCAGATTCTTGCTCCTTCGCCTCAACAACTTCTTCGGCTTTGGGTAGCTCCTCGGTTTGTGCTTCAACAGGCACTTCAATTTTAGGAGCTTCAGCCTCTACTTCTTTCTCTTCAGCCACTTTTTCCACTTTCTCTTCATTCTTTTCCTCAACAGCCTCCAGTTTGGGATGTTCCCCGGCTGGTGTTTCTACAGGAGCTTCACTCTTGGGCTCAATTTCGGGACTTTCCTGCTTCACTTCTGCAACAGTTTCTGGTTCTGTCACCGGGGCATCAGGTGTACTTGCTTTATCCTCAGCAGCAACCACCTCTTTGTTCATCTCCGGTGCCTCGGTTTTTACTTCTTCTGCTTTAGGCATGTCTGTTTGCTCAGATGATATGATCACTTCTGGTGATTTCTCCACCACTTTATCTACCACTTGTGATTCCTTTTTATCTGCTTGCTGATGCAGTAAATAAAAAAGGTAATATTTGTGAGCAAAAAAGTTACATATATGATATAAGAAGGATTAAGATACAAGAAAAGAATACAGTATGCACAACCAATATATAAAAGCAAAGGAAAAGGGAAGCAAAGCTGGAAAAAACAGGAAAAGGAAGATGAGTAAAGGACAGAAAGTAGAGCATACAATGTTTTGCTTAGTGAATGATTCATAGGAATTCTATGTAAGCTCAAACTCTTTATATTACCTAAAGTATCCGTGTCAGATCCTAGACACTCTATCATACATACGAACCGTTACACTTGATTTTATACTAAAAAGCGGCGTCTGACACTTGGATACATACTCAACTCAAAGTCGGCAAAACCTGTCAAATTACTCGGACACTTCGAGAATGGAACGATATACATACAGTCATGAAAGTCATGATGCTCTAAAAACTTCATGAATAACCTTTGATCCACAAGTTCACATCCTTAATTATTTGATCATGACATTCCACCACAACAATTATCAAATATCAATAGTAAGTCATTTACAAATTTCTCTGCTACTTTCTTTTGTTACGATTATATGCAATATTTCAGTCTCCTATAACCAAACTTTTTTTCTTTTATCTCAGGAAGCAGACACTACAAGTAAAAAATAATCAATAAACTAAGATCACATAACACAAAAGCAATTAAAAAAAATTAAAAAAAATAAAAACATTTTGGTAGAAAATTAACTATATATATATATATATATATATATATATATATATATATATATATATATATATATATATATATATATATATATATATATATATATATATAGCAGAAAAATTGCTTACACTATCAAAAAATTCATTCACTTCATTTCACCAAACTTAAACAGAGCATGCTTTTCTTACATACGGAGTATAATAAAAAGATCCACAATTTAACAATCATTTTCATAATCTGAAGCAAACCCAGAAATTATATCAAAGAATTAAACGAATTTCTCCAAACAAACCATAATAAAATTCACAAAACCATCAAAAAATTGCCAAAAAAAAAAAACATTGGATTTTTTTTTTTTTTTTTTTTTTTGCATACCTCTTGCAATTGCGGCTCAGAAACAGGAACTTGAGTAGCCATAAGTTTTAATCTTTATGAGAAAAATAAAAGGAGAAAAAAAAATTAGGGTGTAATTAATTTTGATGATTAAGGATGTGTTTGGTAAGTAATCAAAATCAAGAAAGGAAACTTTTGATATCTTACAGTAATTACTATATATAGAAAGAAAAATTAAGTGGGTTTGGCAGAAAAATGAATTAAAATAGAAAAGAATAATACAGTAATCAAAGAATTCAAAGAAGAAGAAGAAGTGTAGCAGCAGCTAAGTAAGAACAGCAAAGTACCTCACTGGAAAGTGGACTGTTTTGTGGGTTTTGACAGGTAATCACATGGATTGCTAGCTCACTTTCATGGACTATAACTAATTGGATTCTTATTTTTAGTTTTTTTAAAGAAATTTCCCTCTATTTCTATTTTTAAGGTCCCCCTTCCAAGTTCCAACCCACCATAATTCAATTATTTATTTCATTTGCATTAGTGAGTGAGTGACCTCATGTAGTCAACTAGTCATGTAATAATAAGTATTACTATAATGAAATTTTTGGATTCAAGTGGGTCTTAATTGGTTGGGGTTCATCGAGGTTCGGATTCTGAAAATTAAGCTTTGTAGGTTGGGGTAAATTGAGGTTCGGATTATGATAATTAAGCTTTGTAGTGTAGGTTTATTTTATTGTTTAACCGGATGTATAATAGAAAATTTTGAAATTTAGCTTAAGTGAGTTGTTATTGATTAGTTGGGAGTATATAAAATACGTGCTCGGAATAGTCATAAAGGAAGACATAGTCCATTACTGTTAACAAGAGATTCTATGATGTACATGGATATATTATAATAGTCATACGTGTAATTGTGTAAATATCAATTAGTTTAGTTGGTTAAAGTTTTAGATGTGTATCACAGAAAATTTGGGATCAAATCTTAAGAATGTATATTATTTTGTGATTGTGTTACTGTATCAAAGTATGAAGCCAATAACCATATAAGAGGTGATACTTTGTACACTTATTATTAAGAAAAATAATGTTGGGGATAAATAAGGGATACAATACAATCATACAATTATTGATCCTTATGTTATGGAATACGAAGTAGCAAATAGCTAGGTATGTGTAAAATTGTATGTATCTATTGGGCAACTAACCTCAATTTTAACACATGTTTGTTATTATTGCGAGGGTTGTTCTATTTATTTATTTAATTTTTTATTAGAAACTAAATTAGGATCTATAAAATACAAATAAAATAAAAAATAAAATTGTTAAAAATAATATCCTAACTTTGGATTATTTTAAATAATCCGAACTTTGGGGGTCATGGACCTAATCGGTCACCCAACCTATCACAACATGTAAAGGTGACACGTGTCACCACGTAATTTGTTGAAGAAAAAAACTTAAAAAAAATAAAAAATCAGAAACCCAGCCCCACCCATGACCTACCTCTCCACCACCAGACACGGCCCGTCGCGGACCCCCCCATCCCGCTGGTGCCCGTATCTCCACCAAACAACCACCATCTCCAGTTCTCCACCAAACATCGCAGCCTGCATCTCCACCAAACAACCACCATCGCCGCCCAGTCAGCATCTCTTCACACCGCAGCAGCACACGCAGTCGTACAACCCCAACAATAACCAGCATCGCAATGGCACAACCCCAACAACAACCAACAACCAAAGCAGCGCGCGACAGCCACCAATCAAGAATTGCAACCCAGCAGCCCCGTAAACCCGCAACAACCGAAATCCCTAAAATTCCTTAACCACCGCATAAGAACCCCAAACGCCCCTCCCACACCATCGGAACCCTAGCGCTAGGGTTTCGATGGTGGGGGAGGGGCGTTTGGGGGTTTTTATGCTGTGGTTAAGGAATTTTAGGGATTTTGGGAGGGTTTGAAGGCAGCGTGATTGTTTGTTGTGGGGAAAGCGCGGTGCCGGCGGTGAGGGAGGGGGTCTGGGCGTAGGTGGGTGAGGGTCGGGGACTTGGGCTGAGCCGGCGGGAGGAGGACGCCGGACGTGGGTGGTGGTGGGGTTGTCGTGGGTAGGGGCTGGGTTTTCTGATTTTTTTTTTTTAGTTTTTTTTTTGTAGTTATTTTTAGCCATCATGTGACACATGTCACTTAAATCAAATAAATAAAGATAAATAAAAAAATGCCTCTTTAACAGGTTATCAGTCACTTAGGATTATTTTAAGCGAATAATCCCTAAAGTTCTGATTATTTAAAAGTAATCCAAAGTTGGGATTATTTTGAGCGAACGGGCAAACTAAAGTTGAGATTATTTTTACCAATTTTTCCCCCCCCCCCCCAAAAAAAAACATAGCCCTACTTAGTTTTCTGCTAATTGTTTTAGAAATTAGCTTAATTAATACAATATATGAACTATTAAATTTATACACAAGATGTCCATTTGGGTAGCTTAACTAAGTTTCATTAGTTTCTAATTAAGAAAAAAAAATTATACACAAGATATATATAACCTCAATACCCAACACTAAAACGAATAGTAACATAAAACACGCCAAAATTATAAAGAAAATTCTTATATCAATCCAATCTAATATATATAAATATAAAGTAGGCATTTTTGGGGAGCATTCGGAGCGCCACGTAAAAATTATACTTATTTCGACCAATAACAAAAAAGATTAGTATTTTATTTTTGAATTAAAAAATTATGTCGCCACCTAGATAAAAGTAACGAATTAGATGTGATATATCTAAAATTTTAATGCCACGTAGATACGAATTAAATTATTTTAATGAAAAAAAAGTAAAATATAGGAAAAGGTAAATTTATTAATTCAATACTACGAGTATAAGAAATCCAAAAAAATAATCTAAGAAATATTTAAATGATAAACGCTTATAATAAAGTTTGATACCTATCATTATAAGATAAATTTTCATAGTATTTATGATAAGAAATACAAATTGTTCGTTAATTATAATTAAATTAAAATTTGTGATACCTACCATTATAAATTGACACATCATACGACACAAACAAAATTTCCTATCATTAGAAAACTCCATCAAGCGAATTTTGTGTTAGTAATTTTGTGTTAATTTTTAGTCATCAATGGTTGGGTAATTTTTAGCTTAATTTTTAAAATCCTATGTTTAAATTAGTATTTCTAATTATTATTTACATTGTATTAATTTGGGATACTCAACGATTATATGTTTTGTTTTATTTATTAAATGTGTTTTTACATGCAGATCTAACACATCATACGACACAAATAAAATTTCGTGTCAACACAAAACCCCATCAAGCGAATTTTGTGTTAGTAATTTTGTGTTAGTTTTAGGTCATCAATGTCTGGGTAATTTTTTAAATCTTATGTTTAAATTTATATTTGTAATTATTAGTTACATTGTATTTATTTAGGATACTTAATGATTATTTGCTTATGTAATGACATGCGATTAGGTGTTGTATACTTAATATATGGGTGGCTTTGGTTATTTTTGGAGATGATGAAAAAATTCCAATGCATATATTTGATTTTATATAGCAACAATTTTTCATTTATTGGCATGCATATCTAACACATCATACGACACAAATAAAATTTCGTATCAATACAAAACCCCATCAAGCGAATTTTCTATTAGAAATTTTGTGTTTGTTTTAGGTCATTAATGTCCAGGTAATTTTTAAAATTTTATGTTTAAATTTATATTTGTAATTATTAGTTACATTGTATTTATTTAGGATACTTAACGATTATTTGTTTATGTAATGACATACGATTAGATGTTGTATACTTAATATATGGATGACTTTGGTTATTTTTGGAGATGATGAAAAAATTCCAATGCATTTCATTTATTGGTAAATATATTGATTTATTTTATATAAATGTAAAGATTTAATTTATATCAATTTCTGTTTGGCTAACATTTCACGGTTCAATTTATCCAATGATGTAGTAGGTTGGTTATGGACGAGGTTGGTGATTCTGTCGAAATAAAAGATATGGTAAAACAATGAATAATGATTTAGGATTTAAATTATTAAAAATTTATCATTTCTCATTAAAGATTTTATATAACGGAAAAAATATCATATTTACAATTTATTTATATTTAATAAATTCATTATAAATTATAGTAAAAATAAATAAATATTAAACTTTTGTAATTTTGTCTGAAATTATTAAATACAATAAATCAAATAATTAAAAATCTTAGATGAAAAAACCGTACATCGCACGGGCTTCCATCTAGTTTGTTTTAAAGTGAGAAGGAATTTTATATTAATATGGTTAAAATATTAGTTTAAAGTCATTAGGTTTCTTATCAACTTGAAACAAACAGTAGATTTGTATATTCAATAAAGAGGACTCCACTTCAAATAAAAGGGATTTGGTATATCTTGAACTTTCTAAGTTATACTGTAATACATTATTAATGAAATAAGATGTAACTCAAAAGTAATTTCTTGCTCAAAAACACATGAAAGTCGTGAAATTAAATTGTATATATATATACTTCCTTCTAAAAATATTTTGTAGCTCAAAAGGTGATTTGATTTTTGGGACATATATAAGCCCCAAAAATCAATCAATATATGTAGGTCAAGAAGATCAAAGTTGAGGTTGTTAAGAATTTGTTTTCAACATCTTTCCCTTAGACAAACTCTTGTACTTGTTTGAATTTAATTAATTGTTAGAAACATAATATGATTAATGACCCCATCAAAATTAATCTAAGTTAATTTCAGTATGTTGGTAAAATTTTGTATAAGTCGGACTTACAAAACATTATTGTTAGATTTGAGTATTGATTCATTTTTTATGTAAAATTAAGTAACTTATTAATAATGATCCTATTTTAAAGACACCTTTTTAAAGTTGCAAGTTATAGTTCTAGTGTTTATGATTAACAGATAAAGGATGAAAGAAAATAATAAAACTGATCTTGTTTGGAGAAAGCAAAGCAAGATGACAAAAGTTTGAAGGAGACCTAAGTGCCTTTAATTTTGGCTTTCAGGTTATAGCTAATTGAGTATATCCACTATCCTAAATTTTTATATGACAGTTGCTCACTAAAAAATTTCGATAATAATGTTCATTGGCCATAGCCAGATCAGATGTGATATAATTTTATATTTTTTTTTCATTAATTTAATATAATTATTATTATTATTATTATTAAAACGCGTATTGTGTGCAGCTGACCACACCATATGACCGCTTGTAAAAGAACAAAGTGACCTCAATAATGTTTCCAAAAAAAAAAAAAAAAAGGTAACCCAATAACACTAAACGAGTAACCCTTGTAATATTGATCGAGTCCTCCAATATATAACACTAACGAAGTAACCTCTATAACTCTGATCGAAGAATTCTCATAAGGCTATAACATTAACGAAGTAATCTTTATGATAGCTAACCACACGGTGTAATCAAACATATATAAGAATTAGTGTATTGTTTGATAAAGGATATAAATATTTGAATTGATTTAAAAAGCTAAAAACCAAAAAAATTAACGGCCTTAATAATATTATGGGGCCAATGATTGCGCATTTTGCCAAGCTTGGACAGCTCATCCTCCACGCTCACTTTAGAATTATGTGACTGCCATTGCCCATTTGTGGTTTTCTTTACCCATCTTTTATTATTTTGGGCCTTTTTGCCTCTCAATCAATGCTGTCTTTTTTATTTTCTATGAATAAAACTTTAGAGATAAGCCTTTTTTTTCAAACAATGTAATAAAAGCACTTATAAGGAGTCTTATACGGAGTAATATTTTTTTTGTCCCTAATTTTTAAATGTGAAAACACTAATTAATAAGTTATAAGAGTTATATATATATATATATATATATATATATATATATATATATATATATATATATATATATCTAATTTGGGTGTATAGTTATAGAGCTATTGGAGCAAAAATAGTTTGGTGTCTAACGAGTTATTTAATTGAAAGACGTTATTTATAAGGAATACGGAAAGAGATAAACTTCCTCGCCTAGGAATAAAAACTTTTAATTGTACAATGTAGGTTATGAAAACATTTAAAACATAAATTTATATATGATTTCTTTTTAAATTCTTAGCTTCATATCATGTAGAAATACAGCTTGAAAATTCATCTCAAACCGTTTAATAACCCTTATGCCTATGGATGACAACCCCCTTTAAATTGGAAAAAATCCCTTTTCTTTGATTTGGGGGAGGGGGTGACGATAATGATGCGGAGAAGTTTCGATCTTGAGTGAATTTCGATTAGTTGATATGTAATTATGTTATATTGTATTATATTTCATGGAGAGTAATTTGCAAGTATCTTTTTAAGAACCCTATCAATTCATTTATTTGTACGTGTTACTATTGGTTTTTCAATGTTGCCTCTTCTTGATTGTTGATCTATTATCACTATATGATCTCATGCTTTTGATCTAAATTATTGCAAATTTTACCATACAACAAAAAACAAGTACTCCATATGAGACATGCCCCTTAGCTTTATATGAATTTGATCATTTTTAAACCCTAAATTTATTACATTTGGGATGGAATAGACAATAAAGATTTCATAGTTATGTAGAAGCTAAGGATTAAAAATATTATTGATGAAATTAAAGAAGAAATAAAAATTAAATTTGGTGATCATACCTTTTGTGATTCCTCTTATATTGTTACTTTCGTTCATTAATAGCCTCTCTATTGTTTCAAATTCATTGTCCCTCCTCTTGGCTTTATGAGAATGATGAAGAGGAAGAGGAAGGAAGAGGGAAAAAGAAAATTTAGGAAAGTTGACAGAGAAAAATGAGAGCATGTAAAAAAAAAAAGTTAAAAAAAAGGGAGAAGTTGCTGTAAAAATGGGATAAGTAACAAGTGTCATATTTCAAATTGTATAAAAATTTTTGTTTTAAAATAGTAGTATATATTACGTACTTCTTTAGTAATAATTGATTTTGGGTTAAAAACAAATATGTGCCCTATATATTCGTAATAATTTTTAAAAAAAGATATTTTATTATTCTAGCCGTATAGGGGCTTGCCCCTCTTTCTCACCAATTTTTTTTTTATTGTAACCTTATTTATTTGACCATAAGTCCATAAGCATAACATTTTCGAGAGCACTTAACAATTGGCCTAAATTATGACAAAGACGTATGTAAAATCTTTTATGTGACATTTTTTTTAGTAAGGTTTCTTTTTCAAACCTCGTTTTCTTTTTTCTAAATTCAAACTAGAAACTAAATAGCATAATGAAGTGGATAATGATGCATTAATGTTTTTAGTTGAGGATGGGTAGAAGAAATTGTGACGGCATGGAAAGTGGAGACCAATGCAAAACTGGCGATCGTGACAAATGATGGTTACATTTTTTTTTCTTCCCTTCTTTAATTTTTTCTTAGCAAGTGTTCGAATATATGTCTATATATGTATCATATGTATTATTTTGTCATCACTACGAAATTCATACAAGTATATGATTACGTACTAGATGAGTGTATCTTAACCGGCTTTGTCAACCTACATTTTTTATACACGACTTATTATTTCATTAACTTGTATCATACATACCTGATAATTATCTTAATTGGTGAGATATTTTTCAGTTCTTTCTACACCCGAGTGTAATTTTATATGAATTGATAAAAATATATAATATGTACAATAAATTTTATTTTATTTTTTTAAGCCAATAATTTTATAAGTTCAAATAGTGATCACTTCATCTATAGTATTATTTTTATATGTTTTTAAAAAATAACATCTTAACTTAGCTTCCATACCCATTTTCATCTTCTCTATGGAGTAGTAGTTTTGGACCAATTTGAAGCTATACATCGTACATGTTTTACCCGTATAGGGGCTAATGCCGTAATGCGTAGAAAGTGTAATTAACCAAATAATACTTGGATCTTCAGTCTTCACTCTGCTTCATTGGAGAAGATAAACATGAAGAAGACTAAAGCTCTGCGTTTTAATGGCGGTACTTCTCTCTTTCCTCCTTCTCCCCTAATTTCTCCCCCCTTTCCTTTTCATTTTCGATATTTTTCCACTAATAAAAGAATTCTTGATTCTGTTAGAGAACAATGCAAAATTAGGGTTTTCCGATCTTAAACTTCCACAATCTCTCTTCAATCAATTGACCTCTTTGCGCCCTCTTCCTTCTGTTATCGTTTTCAATCAGCTCTTTACTGCCATTTCCAAATTGAAATGGCTTCATCCTCATTCCACCATTATTTCTCTCTCCAGACGCCTTGACTTACTTGGCCTTCCTCCTGACAATTATTCCCTCACCATTCTCGCCAATTCTTACTGCCACTTGGGCTTTATCGATTTTGGGTTTTCTCTTCTTGGTAAAAGTCTTAAGCTTGGATATCCCCCTGATTGTGTTACCTTTACTTCCTTAATCAATGGTTATATCCTTAATGATATGCTCCCTCAAGCTGCTCAATTGTTGAATAAGATTATCAAGTTAGATTTCCAATCCAATATAGTTAGTTACATATGGTGCTATTTTCAAAGGCCTTTGTAGAATAGGCGACAATGCCAGTGCTCTCACTTTGCTTACCAAAATGCATTCTGCTGCTCATTGTAAGCCTAACCTTGTCATATACAACACTATTATTGATAGTCTCTGTAAGGACAGCTTATTACAACAAGCTATGGACCTCTTCTCCGCTATCAAAACCGATGGCATTCAACCTAATGTTGTCACCTATACTTCCTTGATTCGAGGCCTCTACAATTCTGGATGCAGGGAAGAGGCTAAGGCTGTGTTGACTGAGATGTTAAAGACCAACATAGCGCCTACTGTTGTGACCTACAGCACGCTGGTTGACATGTTTTGTAAAGATGGGAATGTTAAGGAAGCACAAGCCACATTGCAGCTCATGACTCATAAAGGTGTTACTCCAAACATCTTTACTTACAATGCTTTACTTGATGGTTATTGTTTGCGTGGTCAAATGAGAGATGCAAAAAAGCTACTTGATATCATGGCCCAAAATGGTTGTGAGCCTGATCTTGTAAGTTTGAATTCTATGATCAATGGATATGTCAAACTCAAAAACATTGTCAATGGATAGTTCATTGCTTGATGACCTATGTAAATGTAAACGGCTTGATGAGGCAGTGGCATTACTTGAAGATATGGAGGATAAAGGTATTAGGCCTGATATTGTCACTTACAATATCCTAATGGACAGCTTGTGTGAGGCTGGGCAACTTGAAGATGCAGCAAAATTCTTCTCTGATCTTGTGTTAAAGGGTCTGCAGCCTAGTCTTAAAACATACAATATATTAGTTAAAGGCTTTTGCAAGAAGGGGTTAATGAATGAAGCTAATGATGTGTTGAGGAAAATGGAGAAAGATGGTTGTTTATCAGAGGATATATTCTTAGTAATGACTTTTCCAAGGCATTATACTACCGCGATCTTATAGTTAGCAAAGGATTTCAAGCTGATGCACACACTTTCATTATTTGTTGACCTCTTGTCTTCCGATAACTTAAGTGACTCATCCAAGGGCTTGCTTCAAAAGTTTATCAAATGAATTGTAATGCAAGTTTTTTTAGTATTGTTGATCTTGGACCTTGGATGTCAAACTAATTGCTGATACTAGGATATTGTTATGATCTTTCTGTAGTGTGTTGTTCATTTAATTGTAGTCTTAATCATCTGACTTTGATTTCCCATTTAGCATTCTAATTTTAAATCTAGGTTAGCTTATCCTTAAGCTGATGTCTACCTGTAGGCAACTTCGCAAGTTACTCCCTCTTAACAGAAATGCTGGTAAATGAGAACCTTTGTGGCAATAGGTGCAGATAAGGAGCCTTAACTAGACATCAAAACCAACTTTGGTAGTTTGGTCGAAGCTCACGTGCAGCTCCCAACAAATAAACATCTTTGTAAGTGGCAAAGATAGTAGACTTTGGATGTTGGATAATCAAGAATTCCACTGTATGCTCTTAGTGAAGATTCTATATGAGTAAGGTGTATCAGAAAAAACTACCTGTATGGTTTTTTTTATTCTCTATTTATAGTCCCTAGTCTATTTTTTGACCTTCGTGTATTGCAAGAAACATAATCTTGGTTATAAAAAGGCTTTCAAGAATTGGTTTAGACAGATTTTGAAAGGGTTAGATTGTCTTCACTGTCGGAATCCTTCCGTCATTATTGAGATTTCAAGTGTGATGATATTTTTGTGAATGGAAACCCTGGGAAGGTTAAATAGGAGATCTTGAACTTGGGAGAATGCTTCAACATGCAAAAGCAGCTTTTGTTGCTGGTGGTATTCATGGCACTAGAGCTTTTTGAAGAAGAGTATTATGGGTAAACCATCCTTGTCTTGGCTGTTTGGTAGTTCTTTCCTTGATGAGTGTTTCAAATAAAAGACCTTGTGAAATATTTTATTTTATGGATGTCAATTTAATATATCAATGTGCACTCTTCTCCATAGAATGTGACATATCCCATTTTCAAAATGCCCCAAACTATTGTCAAAGTGTGTATTTATTTTTCAAAATTGGGGCCACTAGGCTAGTAAACTTCTTCATTGCAAAAGTTTTGAGTTGAATCAGGACATCTTGATGACTGTCATATACCTCATGTTTTGTTTTTCAGTAATTGACAATTTTAATACAGATTAGGATATAAGTAATACTCTAATGCTTAAATGGCATAATCATAACTAGTACATTATATTCTATTTGGTACTTTGTTATTTTGTATGTGGATGTTATCCATCTGATAGGTACATTTTATGATTTCTGAATTCTTTTGACATTCTTGTGCAAATGGGGGTGTTCCTCTTAAGTTCTAAGTGCCGCTACCAAAGGTGAATCATCCGTACATAATTAACGATCAGATTACTGACAATGTAGATTTAGCATCATTATCAGAGGCTTATTGTTCTATATTTAGTGATAATAAATTTAATAGGAAAAAGGTATAGTGATATCCAGGTATTTTCTCACCTTTAACTGTACATAATTGTACATTGATGGCTCGGGCTCTTAGAAAATTATTCCAGTTTTCCTGTTGATGTAATCTATTTCTGTGCACGCACATTTGACTTAATTTGAAACAATCCTTGTGCTGGCAGTTGTGTGGGTGAATAACTATTTTCTATCTGCTGCTGTCCTCGCCCTGAGCATAATATATCTGTGGTTTGCACTTTGCAGGACTTGGCTTGGATTTGGGATATATACTCCTCTTGCTCAGTTGGTTTTGGCTATTCATAGTAGCTAGAAGAAGAAGAAGAAAGAGAAATCAAAGAGACAATACTTTAAGCAAAATGGTGGTTTGCTATTGCCGAAGCAAACGTGGTCTAAGGATGGTATGATTGATGCACTGCTGATGAACTAGAGAAATTCAAGGAGGTCAAGGTAAAGTTTATTAAGGTATGTTGAGTGATGGAAGTATTGTTACCATATAGCTTGAGTCAATTCATTAAAAAAATAAAAATTTACCACATAATTGCCGATTTTATAGATTAAGGACTAAGCCTTCCACTTTGATCACATAAATAACATAAAAGTCATAAATTATAAAGGAAAGAGGGGGTATGTTCTTAAGGTAACCTTGTAAAATGTTGAATTATTTTTTAGACGAAATTACTGTTTGTAAAAAGTGAAATTATATCTTTCTTTTTTTTTTTTTTTTTTTTTTTTTTTTTTTTGTTATTTATTTATAGAAAATACACATCGGTTTAAAAGATCAAACTTTCACCTTGCCACCAATTGTTGCCAATATGCAACAAAAAAAAAAAGGTTGTATTTGATCTTTTATCATAGGACTCGATATGAATTTTCTAAAATGATGAAATTTTGATACTCTTTACTTAGAGGTGTCAAAAACGAACCGTCCGAAAAAAAACCATCAGTTTCGCACTGTAACCGATTTGATTTGATCTGAGAAATTCAAGACCCAAACTCGAACCCGATCTATAACCAAACTGATCTTAACCCGAATCTGAATTTGACCCGATTTGAACTTAACCCGACACCGATTTGACCCGACTTGAACTCGTCCCGAAATCGATTAGACCCGACTTGAACTCAATCGATTTGACCCGACCTGAACTCAATCCGAACCGAAATTGATCCGAGATGTTAGAGGCTAAGAGGGTGTTGACTGAGATGTTAGAGAGCAATATAGCACCTACTGTTGAGACCTACAGCATGCTGGTTGACATGTTTTGTAAAGATGGTAATGTTGAGGAAGCGGAAGCGATTTTAAGACTCATGACTGACAAAGGTGTAGTGCACAACATGCCACATATTTAACAAAATAAATAAAAATCTTCAAATATACAACATATGAAATACGAGTATAAATCAAAGCATGGCTCGAAAGTGTAATTTTTTATACTGTTATTCAAACATATGATTAATAATTAACCACGTAACTTTGCTTAAATTGCTAATTGTGTATGAGATTGGAGCTTTAGCTTGAAGTATAGCCTTTCTTTTATACAAAATTGGTATTAAAATTGAGAAAAAGGCTGCTAATCTCGTCAATAAAGTTAGGCTGCCGACTATTTGGCATGTCTAATTATTCCATTAGAAATATGATAATGTTATGGATATGGGCCATGTGGCCCAAAAGGATTTAAATGACGGTTCATATGGCCCAAACGTAAAGTCCTGTCGTTAAATTATGGGCTAATCTTCTTAATGGGCCTGGTAGTTTTGATTTGTAATTAGAAATCTTCTGAAAAATAAAGCTTGGCCCAATAATAGCAAAAACTTGCTAGGTTTTTGGGCCCTTTTCATATTCATGAAATTGCATAGAACATGATTATAAATTAGGGTGGTAATGCTGAATTCCATTATGCACAAGTAAAAGCTATATGTTCATTTACATTTAGTAGGAACATGTACATAATTGTACATCCAATTTAAATGGATGTGTGATTAAGGTAGGAACATGTACATAATTGTACATAATTCGTAAAATATATATGATTGATTTTTAGTACAATTGGTGCAAAATAACTGCGAGAGTTATAATAAAGATAAGGTCGAGGACAGGGGACTTATTATCTAGGAACGAATGGAGAAACTCTTATGTTATTTACTAGCATTGCTATGAAACAAGAAGTTGCGGCCAAGTGGTTTCACATGACATAAAATCTCTTGTTCCTGTGAATCTGTGATACATGATCGAAGCTCACCAAAGGGGTGAGTTGGGGGAGGAGGAGTGCACTGGGTTTAATTCTCTACAAGGGTACAACTTACACGTACATCTAAAGCTCTAAAAGTTGAATGCATAAAAGGACTTGTTCATAGTAGATTGCTTCAAAACAAAACGATCTGAATAAGAATAAGGCTCTTAAAGTAGTGTGAATTCTAGGCAATCTAGGTGGTAAGAAAATAAACTTGACAAAATGATCATTTCGCTATGTTCTCATGTTGCTTAATCTTCATGTCAGTGTATGTCATAACTCGATAAAACGACATAAATATGTAGAATCTAGATCATCTGTGATGTTTGATGTATAACACATTAACACCAATACACCATGTTGTGCACTGGTAGTTACTGAGGTTTAAAGATTAGGTCGAAACTCGAAAGTGATGAGTTTGCATTGTACACTTGTGGAGCCCACCACTTTTCTTTTACCTCACAAGAAATGTTGTGGACCACAAATTAAGGACTTGCTTCTTTTTAATTAAGTATTAACTGTTGGAAATGCTTCAGTGTTGTTTAATTTTTACTGTCGGTGTTACCTGGTTAACCAAACTTTATTAAAAACTAATTAATTGACCTAGAGAATAGGTAAGTAATTGACTTTAGGTTGCATGTTTCCTAAGAGGGGGTGAGGTAAATGATATAAAACAATAGTAAAATGGTTTTATTCAAGCCGTTTTTATGCCTAATTAGAATAAATTGACCGCATTAGCTAGGCCCCTTGATGCCTTAATTGTCAATTATGATGGGATTGGAGTCACAATTAAACTCTTTGTAATGAAATGATTAACCTTTTGTCACCTTTAGTTAATACAACTAGCAAGAGGATCATTAATTAACGATCTTAATTAATTAAGTGGAAAACAGTATTATTAGAGCTTGACACAATTTAATTTGAAGTGATAGAAGACAATGACACCTTGATAACCCTGATTAGCATTCTAAAGCTTGATTAGTTACTGTTTAGCTAGGAGATTATTACTGTTTTTAATAGGATAAGTTATTATGATTATGATTATACGGATTACATAAAAGGTGAATCATAATTTCTGGAAGAAGCTAGACTA